TTCTGGGTTCATGTGTAAGCAGCAGAAGTGAAAAACAGGAAGGAATAAGAGATTTAAGATGTAAGGATGGGAGTGCAGTGGGAAGTGGTGCATACAGGTATACCTATAATTTTCATTATAGATATACCTCAACTATGAGAGACAAAATAAGAAAAAAAAATCCAGAAAATCACATTGTCTGATTTTTAAGTCCATAGTGTTTCACTATGTGTGAAGCTACAGAAGGTTAAAACTGCATACACGCCTACAAAACACATATAATGCATACAATCTAGAAACAGGCCTGAGCAAAGGCCTGAATGCATTCAGCAACCTGTTGCATTTGAGTTTGCTTAGTAACAGGTGACAGAAGATGTGTCAGAGAGGAGGACAAGTCCACGGGGCCTTCAGGGCCTGAAGTCATGGCCATATTTGGAAAAGATGCTAGCAAGAGGAACTTCTGTGTCTGCGTTTAGCTCTAAAAATTGATCATTGTCTGTAAACGATGCACATAATGTTCTCAAGATGCAAATAATGTTCTTATAACGCGTGAAGGGGCGTTAACCCTGACATTATAAAAAGCCATTGTCTGTGTATTTTGGGCGAAGAAGTCCGCTGATGTGATGCTGTGTGCTTCTTCCCACGCGTGTGTTCTTAATAAACTCGTCATCTGATTGCACTCTACTGGGCCTCCATTGGTTGGTTTTTGTGCCACATTTTCAAATTCGGGACAGTAGACTTTTTTATTATAAATTTATGTTGTAAATTTTCTTTGTTGCCCTAGTTTATTCAGAGCCCGGTGTCCTAGTTTGAGTTTCTTGTATTGTGTTTGGTTGTGTATTTAGTAGGGTTCCCTCATGTAGTTGCCCTCTGTGTCTCCCTTTGTGTAACTGTGTTTATATTGTGATGTTAGTTCTTGTGCCTTGTGTTTTCCTCACTCTGTCATGTGCTGCTAGTTGACTAGTTAGTTTATTCTATGTGTCAGTGAGTTTGCGTTTAGGTCCAATCCCTGCCTGCACACAGCCGTAACATGACAGGCTTAGAGCTGTTAACTATTATTAAAACTGATTTAATTAAATGAAAAAAATGCATCAAATTTTTGGAAAAACCAAAATTAATTTGGTAATGTTGTAACTGGATCAGATAAATCATCATCAAGGAAAGGGTAAAGTCCATAAGAACGCCAAACAGTGTATTAAAAGGGTAAAAAGAAACTAAGTTACAAAGTTAAAAGTTTTTTGTTTACCTAATTACAGAAATAGCTATGTATATTTGATGTTTGGTTGCAACCTGTATTAGGCCTGGGCGATATGGCCTAAAATTCATATCGCGATATAATTTGAAGCATGTGCGGTAACGATATATATCACAATATATTCTTTTCTTCTGTATAACGTATTTTCCA